ACGTCCTGTGGTTTGCACAGGAGTTCTTCCACTTCGGATTCGGAATCTTCGAAGCTGGCATCAATGAGCTGACGGATGTTTTCCGTGGAAGTGGGGATGTAGTTCAATAGCACGACCTGCAGGCGGGAGGATTTTCGGATCTTGTCCTGGTCCTCGAGGAGGCGTGTGTCCTGGAGGATTTTCTGTCGGAATCGGCAGACTCCCAGGTCTGGAGCTAGTCTGGTTTTGAGCTGTCGCACGGTTATGGCTTCGTCTAGGTGGAGGTCGGCTACGAGGTTGCCTGCGGTGGAGTAGACATGTACTTGGATGGTTTCGATCTTCTGGGTGCTCGGTCGTTTCATTTTGGCTCTCTGGCGGGGGCGGTGGTTGTGCGACCTGATAGTAGTACGAACCGGAGTTCGTGGGGCTCGGGCCATTGATACTGTTGCGGCTGACGTGATGTTGGACATGTGTGTCGTGATGTTTCTGGCTGCGCTTGGTCCTGTGCATGTTTGCTGCTCGGGGCGGGTCGGTTGCATTTGGCTGGCTTGCTCTTTTTTTGTTGACGTGCGTGACATCGGCGTCGCTCGGGTTCGTTTTTGATTGCGGGCCTGCACTTGTTGCTCTCGTGCTGTACAGGCGTTGGCGGGCAGTCTGGACGGTGGTGGTCGGGGCGGTGTTTCACAACTCCTGCAGCAATGGCGGTGGTTTTCTTGTTGGGAGCGTCTACTTTCGCGTTTTGGTCACTGCTTTGCTGTGTTTTTGTTGTTTCGTTTTGTGCGCAGCTGTGGGATCGGGTTCTGTTCGGTTTGGGCCTGTGTCTGCTTTCTCCCGTCGTGTCTTGTCTTCCTGATTTTCCGGCCTCGGGATTGCAGTGCCACCAGTGCCACCAGCAGGCCCATGTAGGGTTTAGGGCCAAATTTCCTGGATTTTGGGGTGGGCGTTTTGGGTGACAAATTCTAATCATAAAATAGCGTTTTTATTAGGCCGGAGGGCCGATCTCGGGGTCCCCCCCATTCTGGGCTTAAACTACAAACGGAACTGGTGCCTGACCGCGGAAAACCCAAAAAAACTCAAAAAACTCGGGCCCACCAGTGCCACCAGTGCCACCAGCAGGCCCATTTAGGGTTTAGGGCCAAATTTCCTGGATTTTGGGGTGGGCGTTCTGGTTGACAAATTCTGTTCATAAAATGGCGTTTTTATTTGGCCGGAGGGCCGATCTCGAGGTCCCCCCCATTCTGGGCCTAAACTACAAACGGAACTGGTGCCTGACCGCGGAAAACCAAAAAAAATTAAAAAAAAACTCAAAAAAAACTTGGGCCCACCAGTGCCACCAGTGCCACCAGCAGGCCCATTTAGGGTTTAGGGCCAAATTTCCTGGATTTTGGGGTGGGCGTTCTGGGTGACAAATTCTGTTCATAAAATAGCGTCTTTATTAGGCCGGAGGGCCGATCTCGAGGTCCCCCCCATTCTGGGCCTAAAATACAAACGGAATTGGTGCCTGACCGCGGAAAACCTAAAAAAACTCAAAAAAACTCAAAAAACTCTGGCCCGAAAGACATGCAGCCGGGCACCTTTTGATTTTAAAGGTTTCGGTTTTCAAAAAAAGCGACCCCGCACACTCGACCATTCTTCCGAAAGGCACTGAAGCTGTTCCCCACCCAGGGGTTGTGAGAGTTTTCTATTTCTTCATGTCGTTTTACTCTAGCCGTTGGTAATAGTTCTGGTTAGTCATCGGAGCTGTAATTTGCACTGGGTCGTTGCTGCTTCGATTTTTCTGGATGCCTCGCGCGCACTCTTTGCGGCGTCGGGCGCAGCCGCAGGTGTCTGGGGGTATCCATCACCTAGGTTCGTCACGCTTGCGGAGTGCATGTTTGCTTCTGCAGACGGGCTTCTGAGCGCGGTGCGGCTCCAATTCCTCGTCTTCGTCCGTGGGGTTTTCGGAGTACATGCCGGACGTCCTGAGTGTGCTGGGCCGTGGCTGAGACTCTCTGGACGGCACTTGCTGAGGCGGACGCGGCGTCCTTGTTGCCTCCGGTACTGGCAGCTGGACCAGTGTGACCTCGTCAACGCTGGACACGAGCTCTCTGCCGGTGAGGAGAGTGTCACCCTTCAGGGCTTGGTAGTCGCCTTGGTCGTGCATGCCCTTTCCTTTGCTGTGCGTCTGGGCATCAGGTGCTTTCGGTCGCCGGGCAGAACTCGCCCCACCGGCGGTACGCGATATTCTGCAGGACGAGAAACAAGGTACTGTCGCACTTTTCCTGTCGGAGCGGACTGGCGTAGGAAGACTGGCTTGACTTGGTCTGAGCGTGATGCCTTTACAGTCACGCAGCTGCCGTCCAGGAAGTTGACCTGGAAAGAATGCCTCAGCCGGAGTCGCGTGTTGAACCACTGCCTTTCTGAACGCACTTCGAGTGTCGAGCTTCGGCGAGTGCTTGGTCCTCGGGCGCTGCTCGGCGTCGTTCGAGCTGATTTGATGCACAGTGAGCTTGGGCGTGGCGGACGTTGTTCGTGTTTGAGGCTCTCGCCGTGGTGCTTTGGTCGCGGTCTTCATGGCTAGCTTCGGTGCCATGGCTTTACTTGGCTACGTTGTGAGACTTTGCACAGTTGTCTTGGTCTTGTATGACACCTGCTTGATGGATCCAAAATGCAGCTTCGCGCATTCGAACTTCTTGGGACGCTGCAGTTCCTGTTCCTCGCCTGGCTGGGATTGCCTGCTACAGCTGGTTTTCACTGTTCCGTGGTCAGTCTTGCATTTCGGACGGACGGATGGTGGCGCTCGCAGCCCGTGCCGTGCACCATCAGCTACGCTTGGAAGCGGGGCAAGGACTGCCGGTTGAACGACATGCACGAGAACGCGAGATGTGGGCAGTGGCCTCCGTCCCTTTTCTGCAAGGGCGATCCAATTCGGTATAAGATTTCCTTGCTGGTCTTTCTTTGTCTCTCTCTTTCTCTCTCTCTTTCGTTTTTTCTTTTTCTCCCGTCTCTTTTTAGCTTGTGTCGGTTCGCCGTGGATATGTTGACCCTCGGCGGGGAGCTGGCCGTTCAGGCTCCTTTCAGATTTGCTCCTGACGCTCAGAGCTTAAGAGGCTTGACCTCAGACGAAGCAGGCAGCTCTGACCACCTGACCTTTCAGAGAAAAGGCTCTGAGGTTGTTCCTCACCCAGGAGTCTTTACATTGCTTGCGATCGTCTTCCTATTCTTCAATCCCTGGGACGTTTCCAGGGCGGCCGGCAGAGCTCTGAACCATCTAGCTTGTTGCCGGTGTTCGTCTGCACTGTGCAGGGCATGGCCTCTTTCCACTGTTATTTTCAGGCTTCCGTACAGAAAATCGGTGCCGTTCATCAGGTTGTGATTCCAGCTTACTCCTTTCTGTATCAACCCGGCGCTATATAACTCCGAGATTCGCTTCTGAGTTCCTCCCCCTTCCTCCTGACGCTCAGAGCTTAAAGGGCTTGGCTCCAGGCATGCAAGTGGCTCTGTCCATTTGACCTCTCGTTGGCGAGGCCCCGGAGCTGTTCCCTACCCAGGAGTGGTGCTATTCTGATTCTGTGTGTAGGTGTTTTAACTTCTGGGCTTGTCTTTGTTTCTGCAGGTTCCTCGTTGTCTTTCCTCTTACCCTCACCCTCTCTCTCTCTCTCTCTCTCTCTCTCTCTCTCTCTCTCTCTCTCTCTCTCTCTCTCTCTCTCTCTCTCTCTCTGTTGAGCCATGTAGTCCTGGTTTGTCAAGTCCGCTTTTTTTTCGAGCTGGCCGCGCGCATCGCTTGCAGCGTCGGCAGTGGCTCTCACGAGATCTCATGGGCATAATGCACCTGCGACCGCGATGCTGAGAGGTATGTGCGGCGAGATACCCCGGTCCACTTTTCTTCCTGAGCCTCTCGCTAATCGGATCCCCTGCACGGGCGAGAGTTGCAGGTTCGCTAACTCCGTGTAGAACGGATGCAGCCTTCTGCCTGATGCGATCCTTTGTTCGGGGTACTTTGTGTGCTGCTTACATCCGGAAGCGGCAACCAGGGCTTTCAAACTAGTAAGTTCATGGCTCGAAGAGGTCGTACGAGAAGCCTTGCCAGAGTACAGTGGCACGGGAAAACTGTGGTGCACGAACTGGGTGTGGCCGTAAGTGCCCTCTTGCTTGGACGCAGGCGGAGCCCGGTTGTTCTCGCAACCACACTGCGCAAACTCTCCGAGCAATCGCCCGGACAACATGTGAATGTGTAGCGGCGCTCGCCCCACTGGATGTAGGATACGACTTCCCGCTCCTGATACAGGACGACTTCAGAGCACAACCTTCTTTCAGTATGTTACCTCGCGATCTCCTCTGGGTAGAGACGATCGTAGATCCTCTCGAGTTCGCGGTTCACGGCGACCTGGTTGCTGCACTGACTTCTTGATGTCACTGCGTCTTTGCGAGAGCTGAGCCACCCGCAGCGAAGTCATCCGGTGGGGCCTCAGGATTGATTGGAACACTTTCACGAGAAGCGCGATAACAAGAACTGGTTTGTGCTTCATGGAGGTATGGGTAAGAATGTGACGTTTGTGTCCGAATGCAACACCATGTTGGCGGAGCGCAAATCTTTGCTTTGCTTGAGCCACAAAAGCTGTTGTGCCATGCACAGTTTATTTTTTGTTGCCTCGATTGCGTCTCGCGCTTCTGTGCTAAGGGCCTTGCCATGCGTTGCATTGGAGGGCCTCTGTTTGTCATGCTGCAGCACTGCATTTGCCCTAGGGCGCTCAGTGTCCGCATTCCGGTCACGGCTCCTCTTCGCCATGCACCCTTTCATCGAGTCCAACATCCCTGACGCTCAGAGCTTAAGGCGCTTGACCTCAGACGAAGCAGGTGGCTCTGACCACCTGACCTTTCAGCTGAAAGGCACTGAGATTGTTCGCCACCCAGGGACTTCGCGGAACCGGGGAGGATGAACTACCTTAGGAGTTCTGAAGTTTCCCTTGCAACCCTGGGCGTCCTCCTGCTTTTTGCTCTCCGCGCACGCACTGCTGCGGTTCAGGCTACCGGTGCTCTACTCAGAGTCCGAAGCGTAGAAGCCGGAACTGAGTGAAGCACGTGCAACAACCGAGTAGCTTGATCATTACGTCGTCTCCAGCGTACTGAGGTCTGGACAAAAGGTCGTCGTCCTCGGTGCCGCCGGAGATGACAACGAACTGCAGGTTCGTGTGCTTCCTGGCCGGAGGATTCTACTCTTTTTTTTTGCTGATGGTTTAAGGCACCTTAACTTGAAGGGTTGACCTGCACCGCTCGTGGCCTACCAGCTTTCGGCCGGTGGACTTGTCAACGGCGGCCATGGGGACTTCGGGCGAGACTCCTGCTTGGAAGGTCGGGTTTTTGGAGCTTTGGTGCAGTGTGCGCACCACGCAAGTTTGCCGAGGCTCGCGCCGAGCAGCTTCGCCACTTTTTCTTTGAGCTCCCAGATGCGGGCGTCCCAAAGTGCCTGTGCTAGAGTCTAATTTGCTCATGCCCTTCTGAAGTTGCGGTTCAGTTGGGCCTTCACCTTCACGGTTTCGCCGCTTAAGGTTTCCAGCACCACTTCCGTCCTGATGACATTCAGGATCGTGCGCTGGTCTGGTATAGCACTGGTGTTCTGCTGAGGCTGCTGCAGCGCGTGCCGCGGGGCATTGAACCTGCGCTTCCATACTGGCAGCCGCACCCTGGCTGGCATCCCTATTACGGCTTTGCTTGGCACAATTGTATGCGAGGTGAGTTCTTTCTCCTGTATGACGATGCTTCTTACTGTGCCGGATCTGGTCTGTGTTTTGATGCGTAGCGAATGTTTGTAGCTTCAAGACGGCTACGGCGGATGGGATAGTTGCTTCTGCTCTGCTCTGCAAGACGCTACCCTCGCCAGTCTAGAACTAGTCATATCCCTCTTCCACAGTGGTGCTCTGTGACCCATGCGTCCCCTGTGGCATTGCTAAGTTTCTTTGGGAACACGACTAACGGTTGCTAGAAAGGGCATGGGTAAGGCGGCGCCTTCTGACATCAGGCCGCCATTTTTGGCTCGATTATGGACGTGCCTGCTTCTGCACTTCACTACGCACGCTCTCATGTCGCCTTGCTGTTCAGGCTTTGCTACGTGTTGTCCTGACTCTTGCGGACACGGTGGGAACGTGCTTCCGCGATGGCACCGAAAGAGCTTGATGTTCCATCGGCTCTTCTCACCAGCTTGCGCATGGTTGTATCCTCGTTGGGACATGGTCTGGTCCTGTTTCGCCGGTAGCCTGTGGCTTATTTTCGCTTCTCTGCGCTCCTTGCCTTGGGCGATTCTGCAAGTGTGAACGCCGGATCGAGCTTTCGAACACTTCAGGTCTGCCTGAGAACGAATGTTGAACTGGACCTCTGAGTGTGAGTTTCCTCTCGGCGGCTTTCGCTCTAGCAACCGTCGATGGCGGTCAATCCCAAAGTGCTCTTCGGATATGATATCCTTAGCCGCCCCCCGGACGTCTTTGAGGACCGGATGTCTTTCCATCGACGAGTTTTTGTTGCTAGGTCCGGGGAAAAAACGACTACTTGGACGCCTTGGCTCGCGCCTCTGTTCGCCCCTGAGCCGGTGGCTTATTTCCGCTTCTCTGCCTGCGCTCCTTGTCTTAGGCGATTCTGCAAGTGTGAACGTCGGATCGAGCCTTCGAACACTTCAGGTCTCCCTGAGAACGAACCGCTGCCCGGGCACCGTTGCACTTGGCTGCTGCTGCGGTGCTTCAGCGCGATGGACGCTTGCCCAAGGCGTCGCGCCGAGCCCACCGGACACGTTAGCCCATTGGTTCCGATGTCATACCCGAGGGCGGACCCACCGACTTCGGGCGTTGGCCCCAGACTCGGCTCTACGAACTGATTTGCCGTAGCCGCGGCTCCCCATTCCCCGACCAATAGGAATGCGCGTCTTCGCAGTCGGCCGCGAAGTTCGCGTCAGGTAGGCATGAAGGCGTCTGCCTCCTCACGCCCCGAGTCGACGCAAAGGTCTCGAATTCAGAAAGTTGCGTTCTGGGAGGTTGGGCGGACGTTTCGTGCCGGGCTGTGTCTATTAGTTCAGGATTCATATTGCTGCCGAGTTCCTTGCCTTCTGCGTGGGAGATGTTGAACTGGACCTCTGTGGGCGAGTTTCCTCTCGGCGGCTTTCGCTCTAGCAACCGTCGATGGCGGTCAATCCCAAAGTGCTCTTCGGATATGATATCCTTAGCCGCGCCCCGGACGTCTTTGAGGACCGGATGTCTTTCCATCGACGAGTTCTTGTTGCTAGGTCCGGGGAAAAATGACTACTTGGACGCCTTGGCTCGCGCCTCCGTTCGTCCCTGAACTTCCGGCTGGAAGCCAGACGCGACGAGGACAACGGCGCATGTCAATGGATCTCCCCCTTGCCTTCCCTGTCCAGATGCATTCGCCACGTGCAACGCCCACGCCACCACCGGCACGTTAGCCCATCGTCCGGCTGTCATCGCTCGGAAAGCTTTAACCCCGGAGCAAGGAGCTTACCACCACAGAGCTGTTGGCCCCAACGTGGGCAAAGGCACAGGGCGCCCCACGTTCCGATCCAACCGAACGTGTTGAAGCGAGGTTGTGGCGACTTCGCTTCGTGGGTGAGGCATGTGTCATACCCGTTCGTACTGATCTCCCTTTGCAGGGCCGAGTCCCATCGGGTGACAAATCCGATGCGCGAGTTTGCATGCGTGGGTAGGACTCCGTTGGCGCGTCGCAGAGCTCCCCCTCATGATGCCTCCCCGGATTCTCCTCGGATCCGTGGGTACAGATCTCCTGAGCACGCCTCAATTCTCCGGGCGTTGTCCCCGCACAGCCGGCATCGGATGCTGTGTTTCCGTTGTGGTGTCAGGGGCTTGGAGATCTGGGATCAACCCCTGCGTCGGGTTCGGGGATGTTTGCCTTTAGCTCCGCGAGTCAAGGCACCTTCAACTTCTCGGTCAACGTTTCTTTGCTGTCTCTCTCCTGGCTTCCTTCAGATCTTGAAGCTGATTGTGTCAGAACTCGCAGCTGCGATCCGGATGGACGACAGCCATGAGACCACACCAGCTTCATTACAGCAGCTTCTCTGCCTCAAAGCCCTCCGGGCGAGTAGATGACCAATAGTTGCTCTGCAACACAGTGTCCTGAAAAAAAAGTTTCGGGCCTCGTAGCCGAAATCTGTGCGGGTGCCCCCTTGGAAAAAACCAGGTGGATGCAATAAAAAGTGCAAACCTACGTGTTCGAACGGGTTTCGAATGTGAACAACCCGAGAAAACAATCCGGGAAGACCTGGACTATATTGACGTTTGGACCTAGGTCCGACTTAGGTCGGTCTGTCTTGCGTGGGGAGGGGTGCGTTTAAATCTTCGCTTAAACGTCCTTGCGCGCTAATTGGACCTAGGTCCGACATGGGTCGGCATGTGTTGTGTTTATTTCAACCATTAACTAAGGCACATTTAATTGGACCTAGGTCCGACATGGGTCGGCACGTGTTGTGTTTATTTTAACCATTAACTAAGGCACGTTTAATTGGACCTAGGTCCGACATGGGTCGGCATGTGTTGTGCTTATTTTAAGCATTAACTAAGGCACATTTAATTTGACCTAAGTCCGACATGGGTCGGCATGTGTTGCGTTTATTTAAACCATTAACTAAGGCACATTTGATTGGACCTAGGTCCGACATGGGTCGGCATGTGTTGTGTTTATTTTAACCATTAACTAAGGCACGTTTAATTGGACCTAGGTCTGACATGTGTCGGCATGTGTTGTGTTTATTTCAACCATTAACTAAGGCACGTTTAATTGGACCTAGGTCCGACATGGGTCGGCACGTGTTGTGCTTATTTTAACCATTAACTAAGGCACGTTTAATTGGACCTAGGTCCGACATGGGTCGGCATGTGTTGTGTTTATTTCAACCATTAACTAAGGCACGTTTAATGGGACCTAGGTCCGACATGGGTCGGCATGTGTTGCGTCTATTTTAACCATTAACTAAGGCCCGTTTAATTGGACCTAGGTCCGACATGGGTCGGCATGTGTTGTGTTTATTTCAACCATTAACTAAGGCACATTTAATTGGACCTAGGTCCGACATGGGTCGGCACGTGTTGTGTTTATTTTAACCATTAACTAAGGCACGTTTAATTGGACCTAGGTCCGACATGGGTCGGCATGTGTTGTGCTTATTTTAAGCATTAACTAAGGCACATTTAATTTGACCTAAGTCCGACATGGGTCGGCATGTGTTGCGTTTATTTAAACCATTAACTAAGGCACATTTAATTGGACCTAGGTCCGACATGGGTCGGCACGTGTTGTGTTCATTTTAACCATTAACGAAGGCACATTTAATTGGACCTAGGTCCGACATGGGTCGGCATGTGTTGTGTTTATGTTAACCATGAACTAAGGCACATTTACTTGGACCTAGGTCCGACATGGGTCGGCATGTGTTGTGCTTATTTAAACCATTATTTAAGGCACATTTACTTGGACCTAGGTCCGACATGGGTCGGCATGTGTTGCGTTTATTTTAACCATTAACTAAGGCACGGTTAATTGGACCTAGGTCCGACATGGGTCGGCATGCGTTGTGTTTCTTTTAACCATTAACTAAGGCACGTTTAATTCGACCTAGGTCCGACATGGGTCGGCACGCGTTGTGTTTATTTTAACCATTAACTAAAGGCACGTTTAATTGGACCTGGGTCCGACATGGGTCGGCATGTGTTGCGTTTACTTTAACCATTAATTAAGGCACGTTTAGTTGGACCTAGGTCCGACATGGGTCGGCACGTGTTGTGTTTATTTTAAGCATTGACTAAGGCACGTTTAATTGGACCTAGGTCCGACATGGGTCGGCATGTGTTGCGTTTATTTTAGCCATTAAGGTCGGCATGTGTTGTGTTTAGTTTGACCATTAACTAAGGCACGTTTAATTGGACCTAGGTCCGACATAGGTCGGCATGTGTTGTGTTTGTTTTAGCCATTCTTTAAGGCTCATTTACTTGGACCAAGGTCCGACATGGGTCGGCATGTGTTGTGCTTATTTGAAACATTGTTTAAGGCACATTTACTTGGACCTAGGTCCGACATGGGTCGGTATGTGTTGTGCTTATTTTAAGCATTAACTGAGGCGCATTTAATTGGACCTAAGTCCGACATGGGTCGGCATGTGTTGCGTTTATTTTAACCATTAACTAAGGCACATTTAATTGGACCTAGGTCCGACATGGGTCGGCACGTGTTGTGTTTGTTTTAAGCATTAACTAAGGCACATTTAATTGGACCTAGGTCCGACATGGGTCGGCATGTGCTGTGTTTATTT